TTGATTGCTTCCTCGCTTATAGCTGCCGCTTTTGGGTAGTCTGGTAAAAGGGGGGGTGGGTGGGGCGGCTATTTACAAGCCTCCCTAGTCAGTAATTGGCCTCCTAGGGAAACTGAATATAGTCATAGGCTATAGTACAGAGGATTGGCAGGAGCAGCAGGAGGCCTTCGAGGTAAGGAGCCGTGTCCCATCAGCATGCGGACACACACTGGCTTCATAACAGCTTCCATTCCCTTAGGCTTTGGGGAGACAGTTCTTCCCATTCTGCCTCCCCGTGAGACCTACAGGCAAACCATGTTGAGATGCTGAGTGCTGGGCAGAAGGGTGGCAAAGGAACTGGTCTTTACTGAAGTCCGGTGCTGCATCTATGGCTTACGGGCAGCATGTTGCCCTGTATACTAGTACTGAAGGTGCTGAAAAGTGTGGTGTCTGTCTTCTTCCCTGTGGATTCAGGGATAAGACAGGGCTATCACCTTGCACCAATGTTTTTTCAACGCTTGTTTGGACTGAAATGAGGGTTCAGCAATCATCCCGAATCAGTGCATAACAACACTAGGAAATGCCTTTGCTTATGATTTTGCCATTTTAATTTTGGAGATCCAAGTGGCAGCTCTCAAAGCAACTGGCGCTAAGGTGAAGCCCTTGAGTCTAGAGGCCTCTCAGACCAGTACCAAGATCCAGGACTTTAAAATTCTGCTAAGAGAACTTGATTTTTTCGCAGTGAGGTCATCGAAGTCACATAGTGCTTTACATACCTTGATAGTGGCGTTCATAACTGTGCTGTAAGAAGGAAGACAATGGATGGATTGCCCTGGTGCCAGGGACAATGAATTCGCTCGACAAGACCATTCTGAGATGCTAGAACCTATGTAGGACTAAGCCACGTGGTTTCAAGGCCCTTACATTAATGTTTTTTTGCTATATGGCGGCGAAACTTAGACTTTATCCTGTGCCTCGGAGTCTCATCATCTCATTCCTGCAGTGCCGCTCACCCCCCTCCCTCCTTTCCTGCAGTGCCGCTCACCCCCTCCCTCCTTTCCCGCAGTGACGGGCATCTGTCGCCCCGGCGAGCTGCTGGCGATCATGGGGGCGTCGGGCGCGGGCAAGACGACGCTGCTCAACGTCCTCACGCACCGCAACAACGACAAGCTGCGCATCGTCGGCGACCTCTTCGTCAACGGCCACCGAGTGGACCCCGACTCCCTCACCAGCCGCTCCGCCTACGTGCAGCAGGACGACCTCTTCATCGGCATGCTCACCGTCAGGGAGCAGCTGGTGTTCCAGGTGAGGCCGCCTCGCCCTCGCGCTCGGCTGGCTGAAGATGCGTCACAAATACGAGTTGCTTTATATGAACTTTTTGTGTATGTGTGTGTGTGTGTGTGTGTGTGTGTATGTGTGTCTGTGTATGTGTGCGTCTGTGTATGTATGCACTCGCATAAATATTAAATACGCATACATATATTCCCAATTCACCGCACCTGCTTATTCCAGGCCATGCTGCGAATGGACCGCCACCTGACGTACGACCAGCGAATGGCTCGTGTGGACGAAGTCATCAGTGAGGTACGTGGGTTCTGACACCTCACGAAAGGCGCAGTAAGGTTTCTCAATGACGAATGATAATAAATCCAATTCATAATTCATGAGCATAAACAAATGTAATTTCTATCTCATCCGGACCTATCGCACTTGGAATTCAAAATGTCAGAATTTCTGTTATGAAAATCCGGAGATGTATCTATGTCGTCTACAAGATAAAATTACTTTAGTGAGAAACTGTGAAGACCTTAGTATCTATATATCACACACGTGAAGATCGATTTTGATATTCACAAAAGCAACGATTCCACTGACATAGAGAAATTTGCATTTAAAACCATAATCAACACCTATCTGCAATAGACTGAAATAGATAATATCAACATTGATTAAATAATATGTAAATATATATGCAAGATATATGTAATATAATCAATAGTATAATACATATAATATAATCAGTAATATAATGTATATAACATAATATATAAATAATAGTAAATAATATTAAGAAATAAATGATTTGTCATTCAAAATTAACATTAATATATTCCTTATAAACGGACACCTCAAGGCCGTAGCGATGCAATGTTGCAAAATAATGATGATATCACTAATGTTCTTCATTTTCATATCATAAATTTATTTTCATATTCTTCATTTACATTCTGTGTGAAAATGTGAATTGTATACTTCTATTCATTTCTGTAATTCATTTTTTTTTTTATCTTAATGTTTCTCTGTATCTTAATTTATTGTATTTTCTTTCTCTATATTTATCTTTCTTTTTTTGTCTTTCTCTCGTTCTTTATTTCTTTATGTCATTATTGTTCATTACCTTTATCTATCTTTATCTTTATTTCTACTTATCATTATCTTCCATTATCTTTACTCCTCCTCATCTTTATCTTTCTTTATCGCTACTCCTCCTTACCTATATATTTTCTCATTTTTACTCCTCCTCATCTTTCTTTGCCCTTATCTTCCTCATCTTTATCCTTCCTCATCTTTACTCCTCCTCATCTTCATCCTTCCTTATCTTTATCCTACCTCATCTTTACTCTTCCTCATCTTTACTCCTCCTCATCTTTATCCTTCCTCACCTTTACTCCTTCTCATCTTTATCCCATGTTACCTTTATCCTTCCTCATATTTACTCCTCCTCATCTTTATCCTTCCTTACCTTTATCCTTCCTCGTCTTTATCCTTTCTTACCTTTATCCTTCCTCATCTTTACTCTTCCTAATCTTTACTCCTCCTCATCTTTAACTTCCCTCACCTTTACTCATCTTAATCTTTATCTCTCCTTATCTTCCTCACCGCAGCTTGGCCTGATGAAGTGCGCCGACACGAAAATCGGCGTCCCGGGCAGAATCAAGGGGATTTCTGGGGGGGAGATGAAGCGACTTGCCTTCGCTTGTGAGGTGAGAGGATTTCGGAGAGTGATGGAGAATGGGGAAGGGAAGGGAAGGAAGGGAAGTAGGAAGAGATGATAGATAGGAGAGGGAATGAAGGGGGAAGGGAAGGAAGCGAAGGGACGGAAAGGGAAGTAGGAAGAGATGGTAAATAGGAGAGGGAATGAAGGTGGAAGGAAAGTAAGAGGGAAGGAAGGGAAGGAAAGGGAAGGATAGGGAAGGAAGGGAAGTATGAAGAGATGATAAATAGGAGAGGGAATGAAAGGGAAGAAGGGAAGGAAAGAGAGGTAATAGATATGAAAAGGAATGAGAGGAGAAATAGGAAGTAAAAAGAGATAAATCGAAAAACGAATGGAGGGAAAAAAAGAAGGAAAAAGAGATGATAAATAGGAGAGGGAATGAAATGCAAGGAAGGAGGTAAAAAGAGACAAAAATAAAAAGGGTAATAAAATCAGTGGCAGAGACAACGATGGCAACAACAGCGTGGATATTGCAGTGAAGAGAAGGGCAAGGGGGAAATTATTTTGTCTAGGCTGGGCAGCACTCGAAGTTAGTATTCTAAACAAACATGAAGTTGAGGAAATATGGAATGGTTATTCTACTGTTGTCTTTCTTGTCTACTGTCTTTGGCCGGTTGATTTAGATGGGGGTGTTATTTTATTCTAAAAATGAGAAATACAATGTCATAATTCCGAGAAATGAAGTATGGTGAACGTATCCTTCGTCCTGTTCTATCTTGACCATCTTCCTTTCTCCCTCTCTCTCTCTCTCTCTGTCCCAGGTGCTGACGAACCCACCTCTCATGTTCTGCGACGAGCCCACCTCCGGCCTGGACTCCTTCATGGCCCAGAACGTGGTGGCCGTCATGAAGAACATGGCCGAGCGGGGCAAGACCATCATCTCCACCATCCACCAGCCCAGCTCCGAGGTCTACGCCATGTTCGACCGCGTCCTCCTCATGGCCGAGGGGCGCGTCGCTTACCTGGGCGAGGTCGACGCCGCCTACCAGTTCTTCAACAGGTGAGGTTGATGAGCAAAGGCTGCTGTGGCAACGGGAGAAAGAGAGAGATAGAATTATAGGATGATATGTGTGCGTCTAAGTTGTATGTATCTGTGCGTCGTTGTTGTTTATACGCCTGAGTGCGCGTAGACCCTCATATCTATCCTAAGTACCCAGACGAACCTCCTCCTCCTCCCCGCAGGATCGGGCTGCCGTGTCCGCCCAACTACAACCCTGCCGACTTCTTCATCTCGACGCTGGCCATCCAGCCGGGCAAGGAGGACAGCTGCCGCAAGGCCATCGCCATGATCTGCGACGAGTTCGCCAAGTCCGAGGAGGGCATCAACATTGGCAAGGCCGTCCTTGAGAACTCGAAGGACTCGGATGTGAGTGACGGGGTCGAGTGCGACTCCGAGTACGAGGGCGACTAAGGGGCCGCACATACACGTAGATATGGAGCCACAAGAGGGCGGAAAACGCTAGGCGGTGGCACAGGCCGAGGACTGAGCTTGAACATCGTTTGTTGAGCTTTTTAATCGCGTTGCTGTTTAGTATTTGTGTTCTTTTGCATGTACGAGAGACGTAAAGGAGTGTATGAGTTTATATTGATGTAGATGGTATGCAAAAGTATATATAGATATAAATAATATCCAAAAAGTATATACAGATATAACTAATATGGGAAAACATATATATATATATATAGATGATATGCGAAATTATATATAGATATAAAGCACATAAAAGAGAATGTGTGGATATAAGGAATATGAGGGAACATATATATATGTATATATATATATATATATATATATATATATATATATATATATATATATATATATGTGTGTGTGTGTGTGTGTGTGTGTGTGTGTGTGTGTGTGTGTGTGTGTGTGTGTGTGTGTGTGTGTGTGTGTGTGTGTGCGTGTGCGTGTTTATGCTTATATATATATTATATATATATATTATATATATATATATATATATATATATATATATATATATATATATATATATATATATATATATATATATACATACATATACATACATACATACATATATATATATATATATATATATATATATATATATATATATATATACATATATATATATTTATATATACATACATATACATACATACATACATATATATATATATATATATATATATATATATATATATATATATATATATATATATATACATATTTATATAGGTTTTTAGACTTAATGTTCGGTTATGAGAGCAAATAGGATGGGTATGAGCACTGCAGCAGGCTACACAATATCGCTAAGACTGCAAGGCTTCTTAAATGGTCATACACACAGGACTGGACATTTACATGCAACGGAACTTTCGTTACGAAGACTCCTTGGCCGCAATGATACGTTCTCCTTTGCCAAAACAGGTTTACGGAGAATGTAAAAGACGAGAATAGATTAATGCAATGAGTCACAACTTCATTATATGGTTTTACTCTCGTTTAGAAATGATTGCTTTGCTTCTTCCTTTTTCGTATAATCTGGATGACTTTATTCATACTGTATGTGCATTGTCGTTATATAAGTGTGTTATCCACATGTGATCTATATATAGCGTTTTATAATTGTTTGGTATAATTATCATATTTTCTCTACTGTTGGAAACGAATATCGTTAATATGTTTTTTTTTTATACCATTAACAAAATTAATATTTTTTCCTAAATATACAATTCCATTTTAAATGGGATTTTCATTATCATTATTAACATTATCTATTCTACATTAGATAAGTTTGCAAGATTATATGGTTCCATAAAGGTTAAAATGGATGTCGAAAAATATATATATATATAAAACCACTCCTATTATTTACAATATTCACAGCATACTAACTCCCATACACTGATACTAAAATCCTCATACACTGACGGTGCTGATACTTATCCTCCTCCCCTGATACTACTGATACTAAGATCCTCACACCCTAACACTGCCTCAACATAAATGCCAATCCTCATACGTTTATCACTACCTACACGAATTATCCGACAGGTAAACGGTTACGACAGCTTGGCAGATATTGAGGTCAGGAAATCTCCTTACAAGGCGTCGTGGCTCAAGCAGTTCCGGAGTGTGCTGTGGAGGTCATGGCTGGAGGTCATCAGGGAACCCATGCTGATCAAAGTCCGCTTCGCTCAGGTCATGGTAAGTAAGGGCTGTCCTGGCGTTGTTGACCTTGTTTGGGGGGTGTCTTGGTAAGGTCGTTGGAAAAGGGATTTGTTGGGTGTATTGTCATTGTTGTTGGTTTATGGTTGATCTTGTTTTTATTTTCCTTTTCTGTGTAGAATTAAATTCAACGTAAATAGTATGTATCACTCAAAACTAGATATTAAAAAAAATGATGCAAATAGAGCAATTTGTATCAGCAATATATTGCTGATACAAATAACCACTACAGACAAATATATCCGGGTTAACATTCACTCACAAATACTTACATATATAAACACGAATGTAAGCAAAGTTACAGGTGTAAATACAAATTCACACACACATACAAACTAACAAATGCTCACACATTCTCTCTCTATCTACCTATCAATCTCTTTCTCATACACACACATACTCTTTCTCTTTTACCATCTGTCAATCTCTCTCTCTCCCAAACACGAACGCATAAAGATACTGTCTCTCTCTCCCTCACACTGACACACACTCACATAATCTCTCTCTCTCTCTCTCTTCCACACACTCAAACACACACACACACTCTCTCTCTCTCTCTCTTTCACACACTCAAACACACACACACACTCTCTCTCTCTCTTTCATACACACACACTCTTTCTCTCTTTCACACACTCAAACACACACACACTCTCTCTCTCTCTCTTTCACACACACACACGCACACACCTTTCCCTCCCTCCCTCCATCACTCTCGCACTCACGCAAACGCCTCATCAACCCCCCCTCTCTCCCCCCCTCAGGCCATCGCTCTCCTCATCGGCATCATCTACTTCGGCCAGACTCTCACGCAGGAGGGAATCACCAACATCAACGGCGCCCTCTTCCTCCTCCTCACCAACATGACTTTCCAGAACGTCTTCGGAGTCGTTAGTGTAAGTTTGGTTTTGGGGGTTTTTAATTGCCTTTTTATTATTCATTTTATTGTTTTTTTTAATGTTATTATCGTTTTGATAATGATGAGGTGGTTTATTCTGTTTTTTTTTCTTTGATTATTTTATATATTTTTATCTAATTATTTTCATTATCTTTTACATATTTCATTTTTTTATTGTGATTATATTTTCTTTTATATATTTCCTTCTTTAATCACTGTATATATTATCTCTTTTTTAGTATATTGTTTTTATTATCTATTACAAGTATTCTATCCTTCATTATCTTTATTTTGTATACATATAAATTTTCATACCTTCACCCCACCCCAGACTTTCTGCGCCCAACTCCCGATCTTCCTCCGCGAGCATTTCAACGGCATGTATCGTACAGACGTCTATTTCCTGTCCAAGATGATCGCCGAGATGCCTTT